ATGGGTAACAAACATGGATCAGCCTTTAACTAACTAACTAGATTTTGACCCGCGCTTTAAAAGCGCGGCTATATTTTATTTCAATAAAACTGAATTGAATTTATAATTTTGATTAGAAAATAAATAGTTTTAAAATTTTCAATTTGTGTTTCAAAAAAATACTTGATTTTCAAGCGGTGTTTTTATATCTAACCTAGACCTATGATTGAACCGATAAATCCGGTGATATGTGTATAATTCAGTTCAATTTAATAAAAAGAACTGTAATTATAATCTTAGAAAATCTGGTAAAAATCTAAAAATTCGCTATTGACCTAATATCTAATATGAGATGATTCGCTGAAAACCCAAAAATAAATAATATTTTTGAATGTTTATTAAATAATTCATACTTCTTTATATTATATAAAATTGAAAAAAAAATATTTAGAGTTTAATGAGATTTGGATTATGTCATTTGAATAAAATGAAACAATGGTAATATGAAACTTCATTATTGATATAAAAATATTATTTTCTTTGGTTACTAATAAGCTATGATAAGTTTGTATTTTTATCTATGTTTACATCTAAAACTTAACTTTAAGATAAGTTTTAAAAAAAATTGAACACTGAAAATTGGCGTATTGTTATTATGTAAAAATGACAATAATAGTTTTTTTAAATTTACATGTATATATTCATATCCGATCTTTAAATAATATTATAGATGGAAAAATGATATTCAAATTAAATAGAAACTATAATCTGCATAAAAGTTAATATTATTATAATTCACAAAATATGGAAAGTGTTAATTACAATAGTTATAGAGAATATTCTATTTTTAGTTTAAATTAAATGTCAATAGGAAAGACTTGTAAATATATTGAAATGCAAGGGCAAAATCCTAAATTTTCAAAATAGGATCCTGCTTTAATAGTATAGACTAGGTGGACGGCCCGCACGCCTGTGCGGACATTAATATAATATATACATTGCATGAATAAAAAATAATATAAATGTATAAATATATTGTAATTTTCTTTCTCTTTTACGTAGATACTCTGTTTTTTTAATATATTTTTCTATTTTACTCATTTCGTTTTTCCTTGTATTTTTTCACACATTCGTTTTGCTTTTTATGTATCTCTCTTTGCATTATTTTGTATGTCTTTGTACACCTCTCTCGCTCTCTTTTTCTTTCTCTCTCTCTCTTAGTTGATCAAAATAATCTCAAAATCTCTCAAACTTACATTCACTCTCTTACAATCATCTATATTCATTCTCTTACCCTCGTCCTTAATATGATCCTCAATATTTCATTTTAAAACTCTTTTTATCTCTTTTTGGTTGCAAAATTTTCACCAGATTTTGTTAAATCTTCAAAACACTTTGACATAGTATTAATAAATGATTTCAGAATCTATCTCACTTATATTCAGTCTCTCACTTATATTCTTTTTCATATTCATTATGATCATAACCGACTCTCTAATCTTTATCATCACCATATCTCCCTCTCTTTCTCCCTTTCTTACATATTTTTTTATTTAGAATTTAATATAAAATCACAATTGACTAACCAAATAAATTCATTGTCAAATTCTCTCCAATCTTCACACTATCTTATCAAACATTGATTCCTTTGACCAAGATTTTCAGTGAAAAAATAAATATTTTATTATTAATTTTTTTTTCTTTAATTACTTCATTACATACATATTTTAAGTAAATCTAAATATCTGTATTTCAAAAAAGTAAATTTGATTAAATAATTATATAACAGAAAATATCTTAAATCTTAAATGATGTGATGTCATTATTTTAGACATAGATTAATATAAACATGAGATTCGACAGTTTTAATATATCAAAATAACATGTTTCTAGTTGTATAAATTTTGTTATAACTTTGTTATCATATATTTTTAAAGTTTATTACACCGCAAAAAGTAATTATCATTATTTTAAAATAATTTATTTTAAAATACATACATGCGTTATATTTTGCATCTTCAACATTAAAATTTTTATAACTTATAATTTATATTTATCTTCCTTGCTCAATTTTTCCTTATGTTGTATAAACACCTAAAAATAATTAGTTTACATTTATATTAATACGTAACAAATATTTTGGTATACAAATAAAAAAATATGTATGCACAAATACAAAATAACAAAGAATACAACAAAAGGTTTTATTATTATTTACTCATGTTTTTATTTATGTCTCTTTTCTTTTTTTCTTGTTAAAAATAGACATGCCAATTTTCTTATACTTAAAGCTATATGAATTATATGAATAGAATATTAACTCTAATCTTGTATTAATATAATGATTTGATTTTTTGTAATTTTATATGATAATAAGCTTTTTATTTATTCATATTTTTTTAAAATGACATACCATATAATTTTCTGTTTTAAATATAAAAATACTTAAATAATTTTTGAAAGTGATAACTCAACTATACTATCGACATTTATCTCTGGAAAATGATAGTTTTTTAAAAAAAAATTTACATTTGACTGTTTTACATTCATTGAACATATTTTAAGAATACATATATATAGTGAGTGAGTATTAAAAATATTATTAGTTTTCTGTAATGTACGATTTTTTATCCACTATTAATAGAAAAAAATTTAAAATCGTTTATATACTTATTTCTATAATATAATATGTATTTATATGTATATTCTAAATTTTTATAATGGAATATGTGATATTTAATTGTTTCTATAAACAAATTCTATTAATCCTATGTATTTAAGATGGTTAATTATTTGTTTAGGAATATATATTAGATTAGGTAATTTTATGATTAGTTTCCTTTTAAAAAATTTTAATTAAATAAATAAAAATTCAAATGCCAACAACCAATCAAATTAAGAGAATTAATTCTACATTGCACCTATGAATGACACGTAAGCAAAATTCATTAAAGTGACTTCTCTTTTAATATATAAGGAGATTGGAATTGGATAAAATAATTTAAAATTAATTTGCAAGCTAACATGTAATTAAAATAATAAATTGTACAATTAAAAACCAAATATAGATAACCCGTAGATGTTGACAAAACAAAAGAAGTTAACCCATAGACATAAAATATAATACTTGTAACAATATAATATTTACTAAAAAAAAATAGATTTTCAAAGTGAAAATTCTGTCACGTTCTAAAAAAAAAAACAATGATAGCGCATCATAATCTAGTTTAGTATTAAAAGAGTTTTAGATGATATAATAGTCCAAAATTTCCTCTGGCCACTGGCGACCAAACTTCGATCACTTTAGCGACTATCTTCATGTTACTGTTATACTAATATTCCTTTGTTTGTCGGCAACGCACCACAATGTACTGTTTTAATTTTGGTTCGACCTATATTTTTTTCTTTTACTCTATCATTACTTACTGTATTTTCAAGATGTGCTGTTGTCTCCATATATATTTCATATGATTAGTGGGTATATTAATTTTCAGTAAACCTTTCTTATTTTACAGACCGAGCCTTTGTTTCGTGTTTCACAATGTCCACAACATGTTTGGTCTTAATACGTTCAACTAATTTTTCTGTATAATCGTTAAGTTCTAGTTGCTATTGTGACATAATTAATACACATTCTAGTTTTTTAGCTGCATTGCTTTTAACAAAAACAACAAATAAACTGCGTTAGCTATTTCCAATTTAAAGAAACTCTGATCAGTCATCGACAATTCAAGGGGATTTACCACATATAACCTAAAACTTGATTTTAAATACAAATGTGTATTTCACCTTCGGTCAAATACAAAAGTAATTCAAAAGAATAGTGAAATTATAATTAGTCTCTTATGACTAAACAAAAAACTAGTATTGATTTTTACTATTATAATCATACGTAAAGAAAACTTCCATGAAATTCTTCTCACATTAGATCTTAAAAATAATTTATAAAAAATATTTCAATGGAGAAAAAATTTAAAATCATGTAATTATAAACATTTGTAAATAATGTGAATTTAGATTTATTAAAATTGAATTTTTTTTTAATATAGATAAGTAAAAGTAGATTGAATCACGATAGTCTTTGGTTTAGGTTTATGTAACATATGTTATAGTAATGTTTATCATGGTGAGATTTTGGAATCTTAGAAAAAAATTTAAAATATTTAACATGTGTATGTTTAGTTTTGTGTATATTAAACATTTTATAAATTGATTTTAAATTTAATAAATTTTTGTTTGAGATTTAGTTAGTTATTTGATATCAGAATTTGGAAGACTTCCCAATAAAAATTCTAAAAGATAATGCATTAAAAGACTTCTAGATAAAGGGGATGATTGGTTGGGCTTTAACTAGTGACTTTAGCTTTATTTTGTATTTATAACTATATAAATCACCAATCATGCTTTAACTAGTTTGTAAAGCTAAAGTCAAAAAATTTTAAAAATGGTTGTAGGGACCTCATTTTCTAAAGCAAAAAAAATACTGCTGTAGGATTGCTGTAGGAATATCTTTCTTTTTTTTCATTTTCTCTCATTTAATTTCTACAGCTACATTAGATACAGCTACATCTAAAATTTCTACAGACTAATTTCTACAGTTACAGTCCAACCAATCACCCCCTTCCTACCAATTTCAGTTTAATTTTTAATTGCATTTAGGTTTTCTGCCTAATCATTAAGTCTTTTACGAAGTCTTTCATAAAATCTTCTAAGAAGTTTTCTAGAAAGTCTTACACTGAAAGTCTTTTCATGTATTAGATCCTAAAAAATAAGTTATAAGTTTTATAAAAAAAAATATTTTGATAGGGAAAAAAATCATAATCATCAAATTATAGATATTCTTAAACGATGTAAGTTTAGGTATACTAAATTTGAATTATTTTCAACATAGATGAATGAATATAGATTGAGTCATGATATTCTTTGGTTTATGGTTTGGTAACATAAGTTATAGTATTGTTTATATTCTTAGGTGGTTAGTATATTGAAAACAATGGTAATGTTGTAAATAGAAGAGGAAGATGAGGATGATTGGGTAAAATAATATTTAAAAAAATCCCAACAATTTGGTAACTTGAATGAATATTTTGATGTAATCAACATCTTCATCATTTAGGATATGACTGGTTTCTCCGCTATCATCTGCAAACGTAGCTTTTGGAAAACTGGTTGTTGGCGTTTTGTAATAATCAGATAGAACGGTACAAATTGTTTCAAACGGTTCTAAACCTTTAAAATTCAAAAACTGATTCCAACTAACGTTTGCGGTTACAGGCGATTAGAGGATATATATATGTGTGTGTATATTTACTGACTGTTTAAGTATACAAATGAGATCGCAATTTTCCCTGGATCTTGTATCCTTCGATACTAGTTCCCCATCTCAGAGTCACCCAGTATACAAATGTAGCGAAACGACGAAACCCTAGAGGCGGCGACAGAAGGTGCGATACAAACATGAGATTGTGATCTTCTTCGAGATCGCAATTTTCACTGGATCTTGTATCCTTCGATACTGGTTCACCATCTCAGAGTCACCTACCACGGTTCTGTGCAGATTACGCGTCTTCTTCGGAGTGTCCCATGGTTGTTTCACCGATCATCGTCTACGTCTACGTCTTCCGATCATCGTCTACGTCCTTCCTGCTCCTTTCCGATCATCGTCTCGTCTTTCTTCGCCTGTCAGACCATCGTCTACGTCTCCTTTCGCCATTTCTCATCGTCTACGTTCTTCTCGTATTTGACTGTGAAACATCATCGTCAACGTATCATCATCCTCGTCTCTCGTGGATCCGATCTTTGTCGTGATCAACGGGACGACGTCACTTGTCTTGCTCATCGGTGGATTATAGGTGTGTATTCATGGAGTTTTCGAACCGGATGGATTCGATTCATAAGATCGATCGTAAAGGAAAGGCTATTGTTATTGATGAGGATGATGAGCCTATCAGATTAACTGAGCAAGACAATGCTTTTGTAATAAAAGAGTATAGGATGTCTCTCATTTGAAAGATCCTAAATCATAAAAAGCAAACCGTTGAGAAATTGATTCAGACAATTCCGGCTCAATGGGGAATGGAAGCGAAGATTACGGCAAACGATCTCGGCAATGGCAAGTTCATTTTGAACTTTACCAATGAACAGGACCTCAACTTTGTTCTTTCCAAGGGTCCTTTCCACTTTAATTTCTGCATGTTTGTCTTGGTTCGTTGGGAACCGGTGGTTCATGATGACTATCCTTGGATTATACCCTTCTGGGTTTATCTTGTTGGGATGCCTCTTCACCTCTGGACTGACCGCAATCTCAGAGACATCGGAGAGAGACTTGGACATGTCGATACGATTGAGCTTACGGAGGGTAGGATGCTTATTCATGTTGATTCTAGGAAACCTCTTAAGTTTAAGAGGAAGGTGCTTAGCCCTGAAGATGAAGAAGTTACCATTACTATAGAGTATGATTTGCTCTTTAAACACTGTACCTTGTGTGATCTTATGTCACATGAGAAAGGTTACTGCCCGACCATCTCTACAGCACCGACAGCTCAGGAACGGAGTGGTGTTTTCTCGAGGGTTCAACTCCAGCCTTTGCTGGAAGGAAGTAAGGGGTACGGCTATCATAAGAACCGTAATAGCCATTATGGGTCACAACCTTCGACACGAAACCAATACTTGGCGAGTCGGGACATGAATTAAGTGCAGCTCCGCCTCGATCAGCTAGCACGTCACGCAATCGTGATAGGAGTAGCGATAGGACCAGTGACCGTGCACTAGGGGGACGTAATGAGAGGAGTTATGCTGCTCGTCGCTTTGAGTCCCGTCATTCTTTTGGTCCTTATGACCGCAGGTCGAACAGGGAATGGCGTGAAAAGCCAGTAACAAAGGCTCGTAGTATGGAGAGAGAGTGGGAGAAACCGACAAAATTCAATGTTAAGGAGAAAGGGATGACTCCTCCTGCAGTACCGTCTGCGCCTAGCAGTGAGCATGGTATTGTTGAGGCTAAGGAGGGTGGCAATGGTGGTGCGAGTGGATCGGGAAACCAGAGTAGGACGGTGGCTAGTATCATTGTATCTCCACCACTTCGGACAGCAACTATGGAAGATAACGCCACAATACGTAGTCGAAGCGCAATAAGATCTTTGTCTTTTGTGGCGGATGAAGCAGTAGAGGAAAGGGAGCAAGTCATTGAGGCTTTAGCTGATATGGAGACAAATGATACTGATGATGTAACGAAAATGACTAATGAGGAGTATGATGATGCTGAGGATGATCTTCTTGGAGAAGAATTTATGGAGGCTAATGAAGAGAAGCGAGTTGGAGGCAACGTCGGTTTGAGAAATAAGGCCGATAGCAAGAAACGATTTGGTAGCCTAAATACATCATCAAGTAAGCTAGGGACGAAGCCGGGTTTCCTCCGTCGGGGATCCCCCAGGTTGAGAGTAGCTAAGACATCGGCGCAGAAGTCTTCTCGTCATAAGGAGAAGGCTGGGCATGCGCGACATGTTTCTAAAAAGATTCAAGGAAGTACACACACCGGAGATGGTTTGATGGGATCCAAAAACCCATCCCCCTTTCATCCATGAGGACAATCAGTTGGAACTGTCGAGGTATTGGGAGCGACCTCACAGTTCGACGCCTTACGGAGATGTGTCAGAAGCATCGCCCAGGATTTGTGTTCCTCTCTGAAACTAAGAATAGGAGGCTGCTGTTGCAAGACATTCAGGCTGGCCTAGGATTTGATCGTTTGTTTACCGTTGAGCCACTTGGCCTCAGCGGGGGTTTAGCTTTATTTTTTATGGATGAATTTCAAGTTAATGTACTTTTTTCAAATAACAGAACGATTGACATTGAGGCAGTCACTGATGGAATAAAAGTCTATATGACATTTGTTTATGGGGATCCTGTACTTGATAGACGAGATGTAGTATGAAAACGTCTTACGCGTTTCTCAACAACAAGAAATGGACCTTGGTTCATGATAGGGGATTTTAACGAAATAACATGTCATGCAGAGAAGGAAGGAGGCCGACAACGCCCTGATAGTTCCTTTCTACCATTTAGACAGATGTTAAGTGATTGTGGTATGCTCGAATTTCCTTTCACAGGGAATATGCTATCTTGGGTTGGCAATAGAGCTGGAAGAACGACAGTTAGATGTCGACTTGATAGGGCTGTGGGGAATGAGGATTGGCATGAGAAATTCCCTCATTCCAAAGTTAAGTATATGAGACTCTGGGGATCGGATCATCGTCCGGTTCTCGCTGATATCCTCAGAAAGAAACCTAGGAGAGCAAGAAACTTTAAATTTGACACGAGATGGTTGGATAATGATGAGCTGAGGCAAATTATTCTGGAAGGGTGGAAGTCACCGAATCTTCCGCCTGATGCAAGCATAATGGAGCATATTATTAGTTGTAGGCGAGCTTTGAGCGAGTGAAAAAAAAACAGCTTAACCTGAATTCTGAGAAGACTGTAGAGGAGCTCAAGGAAAAGGTGGATCGTCTATCATCAACTGATGATGAAACTACTGAGGAGATTGGAGCGGCCATTAAGGAGTTATCCTATGCCCTTAAGGTAGAGGAACTGTTCTGGAAGCAGAAGTGTAGGGTATTTTGGTTGAGGGAAGTGGATAGGAATACAAAATTTTTCCACGCCCTTACGAAGCAGCGTAGAGCAAGGAACAGGATCACTCAATTATTGGATGAAGATGGAAATGTTGTGGAGGATGAGGAAGGATTGGTAGCCATTGCTATAAATTATTTTAGACATATTTTTCAATCATCAAATCCAGAAACAATAGAAGAGGCACTCTCAGAAGTATCGACGACAATTTCTCTAGCGGATAATGTGGCATTGACAGCTTCGGTTACTGAATGGGAGGTCAAATTGGCGCTTTTTGCGATGCACGCAGAGAAAGCCCCAGGTCCAGATGGAATGACGGCGCTATTTTACCAGAAATTCGGGGACATTGTAAAGGAGGATTTAACTCGTATGGTTAATCAATTTCTATTTGACGGCGTCGTACCACCGGGGTTAAATGATACCAATATATGCCTAATACCAAAGGTGGATAAGCCGAATCAGATGAGCCAGCTTCGTCCTATTAGCTTATGTAATGTTAGTTATAAGATTATCTCTAAGGTCTTATGCCAGGGATTAAAGAAGTTTCTACCCGAGAGGATCTCAGAGACTCAGTCAGCATTTGTTGCTGGTAGACAGATATCGGATAACATTATGATCGCTCAAGAGTTATTCCACGCTTTAAGAACAAAACCGAGTGGGCGAAATAAGAGGATGGCAATAAAAACGGATATGAGCAAGGCATATGACCGAATGGAATGGTCCTTCATTGAGGCCACCATGAGGAAGATGGGATTTTCTGAGGTCTGGGTATCTATGATAATGAGATGTGTAACGTCAGTGAAATACAAAGTCCTCATGAATGGGAGTCCGAGAGGAAATATTACTCCAGAGAGAGGTCTAAGACAGGGGGATCCTTTGTCTCCTTTCATTTTTATTCTGTGCACGGAAGCACTCGTTAGCCTTCTAAATCACGCAGAGAACCAAGGAAAGATAACAGGGATGCGCATCACGTGTGCGTGCCCTTCGGTATCTCATCTTCTCTTTGCTGATGATAGTCTGTTTTTCTGTAAGGCGGAGCCCCGTGAATGTGAAGAAGTAATGAAAGTGGTCAAAGTGTATGGAAAAGCGTCTGGACAATGTATTAATTTTGATAAGTCCTCTTTACTCTTTGGTAAAAGAATTGGACTGGATGTGAGACAAGAGATCAAAGACACTCTGGGGATCCAGAATGAGGGTGGAATGGGATCATATTTAGGTATATCGGAGGACATTAGTGGTTCCAAATGTAAGCTCTTTGCGTTCCTTAAGGACAAGTTGAGAGGAAGGGTGAATGGATGGACTGGTCGCTGGCTCTCGAAGGGTGGAAAAGAAGTTATGATAAAGTCAATCTTGCTTGCCCTGCCGACGTATGTAATGTCTTGTTTCCTTCTCCCATTGGAGATTTGTGAGAATCTAGCTAGTGCCATTGCACAGTTCTGGTGGATCTCCAATCCGCCAAAAAGAGGTATGCACTGGTCGACATGGATAAACTTTGCTTACCTAGAGAAGAAGGTGGAATCGGCTTCAAGATGATTCATGAGTTCAACCTTGTGCTATTAGCAAAACAATTATGGAGATTGGCTCAGAACCCGGACTCTCTGGTAGCTCGAGTCATGAGAGGCCGGTACTACAGATTAAGTACGCCTTTGCGTCAAATCAGTACTAGTAGCCCATCATATGTGTGGACAAGTATCTCGGCTGGTAGGGAATTGTTATTACAAAGAATTAGACAGAAGATTCATTTGGGATATGAAGTTAAAGTATGGGAGGATCCTTGGATTCCTACCATACCTGCGAGACCAGCAAACCCATTAGCTCCGGTTTTGCACCCAAATATGAGAGTGAGCGATTTGATTGATCAAACTGCGAAGTCTTGGGATGACAGTCGTCTACACGACTATATAGATGCTGCTGACATACCACTAATCAAGAGTTTGGCAATTAGCTCCACGCATCGACGTGATACTTTCTGCTGGAGCTACACGAGGAATGGACAATACACTGTTAAATCTGGGTACTGGGTAGCACGAAATATCTTGCGTAAGGAAGAGGAGCCAGAAGTTCGTGACCCCAGTATTACTAAACTTCAAGCACATGTTTGGAAGGTCAGGGCCCCCCAGAAGATTTTCCATCTTATGTGGCAGATAATAACAGGACATATGGCAGTTACGAGTATCTTAAATTATAGACATATGAGATGTGACAACCATTTCCCTCGATGTGGGGAACCAGAGGAGACGATCACACATGCAATTTTTGAGTGTCCACCTGCATTACAAGTTTGGGCGTTATCATCTACGCCTACCAACCCTGCTATGTTCCCTGTACAAAGTACGTACGCGAATATGGATTATCTGTTCTGGAGGAAAAACGCAATAATAGAACCAGAATTAGACAGGGATCCTTATCCTTGGTTAATATGGTACATTTGGAAGGCTAGGAATGACAAACTCTTTAGAGGTATTGATAGGGACCCATTGGAGGTAGCACGATATGCAGAGAGTGAATGTCAGGCATGGTTTAAAGCAAATGAGCAGGATTGTCCAGAATCCACTCTGAGTGGAACTAATGAGGACCAAATCTTAAGTTTGAGGAATATATGCATGGTAGATGGATCTTGGCCTTCTACAAATAGCTTCAGTGGTTATGGATGGGTGTTGCTTGATAACTCTGGAAACAGTAATCTTATGGGACTGCGGAACTTTGATCGAGTGGAGTCGGCACTGCATTCAGAGTTGGAAGCACTGCGATGGGCAATGGAGAATATGCTTCAACATTCGCCATGTCAGAGCTTTGGAACTGATTGCAAGGAGATGGTAGAGATGCTCAAGAATCCTCACGGATGGCCTAATTTCTCAACAGAGCTGGAAAAATTGGAGACCCTGAAGATCTGTTTTCCTAATTTCAAGATTTGTTATGTACCTAGAGCATAGAACGGTGTTTCTGATTCTCTAGCGAAGACAGCTAGGTCGTTTTATCGTAAGCTTGTGTATGTTGGTTGTTCTATTCCGGTCTGGCTTCCCAGACCACCTCAAGTGCCTTGAGTAATAGATCAGCCGTTTGATGTCAAAAAAAAAAAAAGTATACAAATGAAAATATTTAATTAAAACTTTAAATGTGAAATAATAGAAATACTAAAAGATATATAGTATATTTTAATTTATATTATAAATTTTTAAAATAAAAAATAAATTCTATTTTTGAAATTTTAATAATATAATTTTATAACTATAATTTTATATTTATTATAATAATATAATTTTAATTTTATTATAATTATATAAAATGTAAATCTTGTTAAGTTATATTTTACTATTGTATTTAGTAGATAATCAGTCATAAGTATCCCGCAAATGCATCAATTTCTAAATGTTGTATTTGTCTAAAAATCTCTTAATAACGATTAAGACTACAATCATATGTATCTGGAAACATCCGTACCCATAACCATTGTGATTATCCCAGTCATGTCTTCAATGTGTGGCCTTTATGCCAGAAGAGTGGTCTGGTTTCACTAGTTATCGACAAACCAAAAAAAAAAAAATTTAATTCATAACATTCTTTATGGCTTGTCCTCAATCAACGTTTTGTTCTCTAAAGAATGCTAATTCAACTATCAACTTATAACTCTTTCAAAAGAAAAAACGTTTAACTTATATGCATAAACGAATAGAAACGCGAAATAAATTAACTGCATATTTTCAAAGTCCAACTAACGTCAACCGACACAAGCCAACAATCTCCACGACAATTCAACTTCTATTCACTCTGCTTTCCCCATCAACCTTTAACTTTTCATGTCTACCAATTATATAAACATATGGTACATCTCTACTTGCTTTTTTGTTACGCAGG